CACATTAAATCGAAATAGATTCTGGATTGACCACGAGTAAACTTTATCCAGGTCAAGTTACTAAGAATGTCAGCTGTAAGCAGTAACGGCGCTTCGCTGCCGCGCGACCACTACCCTTCGCGCGCGGCTGAGTATACCGCGTGGACGCCCACCGCCACGCGGATTCGAAATGGCAACCTTATGGTCGAAAACCAGGCGCTCAGGCCACGGCCACCGACCGACATCCAGGTTAACCTGAAGTACTGTGAAATTATCTAGTGTATTGATCGCCCTCCACACCTTGATGTCAACGGTATAAAGTAGATAGTTTGAGCTTATGAGACGTATTATGTAGTAGATATATATCAAAAATAACCTTGGTCCTAGAACCGATCTCTATGGTACTCCGCATTCAACTTAGATGGGACCTGACATGGATTCACTTACCCGTACCCCCAAGCGCCGGTGGAGGAGAAAGAATGGATCAGAATCTGTCTTTCATTCCCGTGTTTGGAGGTACGAGTATGTGAATCTGTGTATCGGACTAACACAGTGTAAGTAACGAATATTTGTAAATGGGAGAAGATAAAGAACTGTAGGCAGGATCGGTTATAGAGGAATTCAATGAACAACGGTTTATGCTGGTTGAAAAAGCAGTTACTTGACAAGTCCCGTAAATAGGTGGGGGTAAACCTACAATATCAAAAGACACGTGAGTTTTCTTTTTGTGCGCTTATCTACAACAGGAGTGCAGAGGGTAAAATTCAAGTGAGTACCGAATTCACGCACATAGTAGTAGTAGTAGAGCACAGTCGCCTCAGCCAGTGGCATGTAGTCGGGACGGTCACACATTCGGTAACACTCAGACATCGGTCACAGTCACCGGCTGGAGGAGTACTATAGCACGGCTACCATGATGGCCTGAATGTCGGAGATGGGCACAGTTTACAATCAGGCGATTACGTGCAATGAGACGACACACATTGTAGCGAAAACGACACGACAGGGGGGTAGACGTTTATTGCACACCGAAAATGGGCACATGAGGGTCTCGCGCGCGCCATCGAATATCGACTAGATTTCCGTCTCACAACGCAACACAGGTACGGATGTTAGAGACGAGCCAGCCCCTTCGCCTCGGGAGCTCTGACTTGGAAGATCCGCCTTCCTGTTTTCGCCTCGATCCCCACTTCTCTATACCCGATTTGGATCGGCCAGGAGTCGTTCGAGAGCTCTGGACTTGCTTATTCTGGGCTGTGTCAATCGGCTCGGCGTCGGTCCTGTGGGCTGCGCTAGCGGCGTATATGTCTGATTTATTGCGCTGTCCACATATTCCCGCTCCGTAGTTCCGGGCCCAGACTCGTCGCTAGCCGTCCTTCTCGATCCGCTCTCTGCTAACTCCGAAGAGCTCCCCCGAGGCATTCTTGGAAGCGGCCCCTCTACAACATGAGTCACTCCAGCGATGCATACACGCCGGAGTCCAGTTGCTAGCCCAGGCACACAAACAATCACACTTCCCCTGTTCGAATCTTTGTTACGCAGTGATTCAGATCTTCGTAGTGGTTTGGGACTACTGGATGGCTTCGGTAGTAGCTACTTGATTGTGCTCAAGTGGTAAATTAATGGATCGCATCTACACCTGATCATGATATCGTCGGTGAACTGAATCATCATTTAAGTCTGTAATCAACATTCGCTTTTCCAATTTACGCGTGATACTTCCGTATGCTGGCATTAAATCGTTACCACAAAAAGCAGACAAGCAGTCGAATCAAGGCGCTGTAGATAAGTCCGAAGTGCTCGCGATTTGAAAAGGACTGGAAATTTTTCATGGTAAAATGACATGCGTTGCGGTACTGAAGTATGAAGTGATCGGTGAAGGTTTCTAGTTCATCTACATTCGGGGATCCGCTGATTTTAGTGCGGATTTAAGCGTTTTCACAGTGTTCGGGTATGCCATTGAACGCAGGTGGCGTAGCACTGTTCTCAAATGTCGGCATGCAATTGAATCAAGCCACTGCTTTACCTGCGTGGCATAGAAAGGCATACCATTGTCGGTTATAAGAACTGGTGGTATTGCCTCACTACTGAAGCACTTTCGTAACGCTTTCACTGTAAACTCAGCAGTCACCGTTTTGGTACAGAATACTTTGAGTTATGGTGAATCAGAAGAAATCACAACGACGGCCTAAAAAAAATCAGCACGAATACGCTGCCAAGGTCAGCAAGATTCGGGTCAGCTATGTGATTCAACGACTTCCTACTTTACCGCCTCGTTTCCTACTGCATCATCTGTATCCTCTCCAACCAAGGAAAACGGAAGAGGTACTATGCACCATTCCTTTGAGTCTAAAGCACGTATGGATGACTATTACACCCAACAAATAGACATTCCAACCGGGACCTGATGGTATTCCCCCTGCAGCTTTAAGGATAGGTGGTGAAAACGTACCGCTCTTCACATTGAATATTTTTACACTGTCGTTAAACACTGGCTGTTTACCGCCTATGTGGAAAACTGCAATAATTATGCCGAAACACAAAGGCAGTGCACGAGATCGGATGTCAAACTATCGGCCGCTGAAGCCTTAGAAAGAATCGGTAACACAATTCTTGACGAGCCAAAACCCAGACAACAATTACACGTGAGTAGCAGGATTTTAGTTGTAATTCTAAGGTATTCAACCCAGTAGTTCACAAGCTAAACAGCACAGCTTAGTCCGGAAAAGCACCAGACGCGTTTCGCCCTATTGGGGATCGTCAGTGGTGCGCATTCCCGCGGTCCCCTTCTGGGGGTCGAACGCATGACTGCTAGAGGCAGAAGCCAACTAGCCAGCAGCTTAAGCAATGGAGAACGTTGTCGGCTACATAATTTGCAAAGTAGCTGGGAGATAGCACCACCGAAATTCTATTGTCACTGGCAGTGGCTAATCTACGAGGTGATCACGTCCTCTAGCTAGATGTTATATCCATAGGATGTGAAAGTAGGAGAGGCTCTTTATTTATTTATATTACTCGTGAATACCCTAAAATTACGTCTAAAATCCTGCTACTCACGAGTAAAATAAATAGCCTATTCTAGTTCCAAATGGATATAACATCTAGCGAGAGAACGTGATCACCTCCCAGGCTAGCCACTGTCAGTGGAAGATAGGTGGTGCTATATCTCAGTGAGCTAGTAAATTATGTAGTCCAGCCAACGTCTTCCATGGTTTAAGCTGCTGGCTAGTTGGCATCTGCCTCTAGCGGGCGTGCGTTCGATCTTCAGTAAGTGACCGAGGGAATGCGCACCACTGACGAGTCCCAATAGGGCGAAACGCGTCTGGTGCTTTTCCGGACTAGGCTGTGCTGTTTAGCTTGTGAACTCTGGGATGAATACCTTAAGACTACGCAACAATTCTCAACATGGGTTCACTGCAAAACATTCCTGTGCCCCGTGCCAATTAGCATTTCCTGATCATGCTACAGCAACACTTCATGGTTGCATGGCCATCATCCTTCTAGATATGAAAAAGTTTGACTGTGTACCCTTTTGAGCCGGTTCGACTCATACGTGGACCGACCGAACACAAATAGTGCAGGTTGGTCAATACTGCTCTACTTACAGAATATTCACGAGCGGCGTTGCTCAGGGCAGTGTATTGGGCCAATTGCTTTCCCTCATTTACAGTAACAATGCATGTATGTTGGCCGGTGGCCGTGGGCTGCACACTTAGCTTGCGGTCGTAAGGTCACCGGTTCGAATGCGCGTAGGGGTGGGGGTCCTCGCGGTAGATGCAGCCCACACGCGGCTGGTGGTGGTCGCATGGAAGCGAAGCGCCGTTACAGCTGATGAGTTATTTAGTTATTAGATTATATGCGGGCTCTCAATTTTATTCGCGGACGACACCAAACTGGTGTACCCATTTCTACCGGTCACCTAGAAATATGCTTACAAATGATACGCGAAGACCTAGCATCCCGAAACAAACGAATCGAAAGCAGGTCAATAAGGTTTTCGGCACATAAATCTCAGGTACACTACCAGAGACGCAGTATACCAGAAGCATCCATCGCTCCTACTGAAACCGCCATCCCAACTGCGCATTCGGTGGGAATTAGATTGTATGGCAACTTTCACATCTTTGAACACACAGATCAAGTAGCGAAAGCGAAACAACCAACAAGCTACATCACTAGGACATTTTCACCATCCCAAACACGACTTGATTCATTGTACAATCATACTTAGCCACTTACGCAAGACAGATAGAACTGCTTAGGAAAACTTCTAGCGCTCCAGTTCCAAAATGCTCATGGAGCGCTCGTCAACGTTTACCTGTGAGGATCGATGTACTTAGCTAGAGCTCGGTCCACTCTGACTTCGACGACTGGAAAGTAATCTCATTCTTCTCTACAGTATAGTATACTCGTGATCCTTCTCAACCAATACGGCTGTCGCATTATAAAATGACTTAACCTATCCCCCTCGTAACGGGAAATACCTGCTTAAATTTCTTACTGGTGTGGTACGCTCATATATGGAACAAACTACCGTCAATAGTTAAATCACATATAAGAAATTTTCTTTCCGTGCCACATGAAGTCAAACTTTTCGACCTCCAGTAATCGACGAGCGCGCCCATGGAATCCGGCCCAAAAAACATATGATAATATTAACTTTCAAGCAATGTTACTTACTAATATTCAACAAAAGTTTGCATCACTGTTCTACATTGAAAGTAAATACATTAATGACATGCTAACGAAACGAGCGTTCTACAAAAGGAACCGTATCCCACCCGACGGAAAATATACCCAATAGTTTATTTGTCTCGAAGAACAACCGACCACCTTTATCCACACCCCAACCTGTAAGTGTTCCCAATAACTCTCATTTATCTTACCTGAGCTGGACTGCTACTGGCAGTTCCTTTCAACTGAGCATTATCTCTGGAGATTTAATAACAAACCTTGTCTCCGGCTCATATGCGCATCGCCTTTAACTCCATCTAACTCCCTTAAGAAAACAAAAGTCGTCGTAATCAGGTACATATATCGGCAAAGGAAGCGATAGTAGGTAACGGTCGTTAGATTTGCACCCGAACTAGCTCTCCTCGGCCAATAGCAAATGTAGGAAAGATTGAGAAGAAAGCAGGTCCCACCAAACGGTCAAAGGCCGCAATGAAGAAGACGGCCGGCAACGGAGGCGCTCCAGCACAGGGGAGACCCAGGAAAAATGTCTCAAGAGTGCGCTTCACCGGATTTGCCTGCGACCTGAAACAGAGTATAGCAGGAGTCATCATTACAGGAGAAACGGATCATCTGCTGAGAACGCGAAACAAAAACTCCTGCAAGTGTTCTGATGCATGTTTGGTTTCCAATCACATTGCTAAAAACAATTGCATATACGATCCGTATGAACCACCTACAGGGCAAAATGAACTATTATCGAGACAAGCTTCCAAAGATGACATAACTCTCGTGAGCTTTCCACTAGTAAAAGAGGGTCAAGTGGGTTGTGAACAATAGCACAAGAACAGTGTACCAAATGGCTAACATTTGGGTTACATTTTTCAGTCCCTTTTGAATCAATCACAAAAAGGCCAAATCACGGACAACAGTGACAGCACCAACAAAAGTGGTGGTTAAACAAAACAAGAGCATGCTGAGAGCATGGTTCTCAGAAAGGAAGAAACACTCAATGGGACCGGACTATTGAATCCAGTCATTGAATTGATAATTTTGGTGTGGATGATGGTGTGAACTACAACAAGACAGCGGCATTCATCAACACTGATCGGTCTTTCGGTCTTTCGCTTGATGCTCTAGCCACTGCGACTGTTAGCTAATCAAGACATTCTGAGATGAGTAGGTATAGGAAAAACCAGAACCAAACAGCGTACGCAGCGTATATTTTAGACAGACTTTAAGGAGATGCCAATGCATTTTTTGCTGACTCCTATTCGGCATCTTCATTGGCTGATGCAAATAACTGCACACCACAGTATGATGTCCGCGCCTAAAAAGTGCAAGGTGCTATCTCAAGATTAGGTATACACCCTGCTGATACTCGCAGATTGCCAACGGAAGCGCTATACCGGTATCCCCATTTAGACAGCTGATAATGGTTATTGAGTGAGCTGATAAATCCCTGCAACTTTTCATGTCATTGATCACTTATGCGGGTAATGAAATATAGCCATACAAGGCGACCCTGCGGGTTTAAGGATTCAAAGAATCATCTCTGAATCCGCGTGTCGGCGCAACACTGATACTAAGTATTCAAGTCACTAACTGGGCAATCACGGTATCTGCCAATCAGGACCTAGCAGCTAATCCTATGTTGCCGCAGTACCCCAGTTTCACTAGGCAGACGATGTATTCCGCATGCAAGCTGATCTGCTCCTTCGCGCGTTACCAAGCAAGCACCTAGCTCAGTGGTCAGTCGGCTGGTTTTGAGCATACTGCCACTCTGAATGGAAGGCTTTGATATCGACGAGTTCAGGGCTTAAATATGACTTATCCGATAGGGTTTAGCGGCACTTTTGCCTTCTGTTTCTGACCTACCATTTCTTTAATTTGCCCTTCTATTGGATTTTGGTCTGCACGTTTGCGTTTTCCCTTTTAATGTCGTGGTGGCTGGAACCATAACAACCGGTCAGCGGCGCCTTTTTATTTGAAATATGATTGATTGCGTGAGCCAAACCCATCGAACTTGATCGATGTTTAGCGAATGATCCTCACCTGTCAGACCTCAGTGGTCACATCGAGTAATCCTAGTGAAACACTGGCTAGGTTGCAGTGTTGTACACATTATGGATCAAATTTATCATACAAGGCATCGATCAGACGGAATCGATACAGCTACCTAGTTGAGCAGGCTCGTTACTGACACTTGTGCGAACTCGTGTGCTGGAGTGAGACAAGAAGTATCTGCAAGTTAATGAAGCGTCGTGTGTAAACTTTCTTAACAACACTGTCAAAAGGGTCACATATCTGGACAGGAAGATAGCAGTTAATCAAGAGTTCGGCATTTGGTAAGCCGTTCAAGAGAACTTTGCCGATTGTCTTCTCGGAGAAAAGACTACATGAGTAATTCAAGTGAGTGCGAAAATAAATTTTCCCAGGCGACGGGGCTAAATACGGTCTCCACGATGAGAGTGGCCATGGTGGGTAAACTGGATAAGTGGTATTGCTCGAGATGATGAAGGCTACCAAATATCTATTAAAATCAACTTCCCTTTAAATTCAAGTCCCATAGCCCAATTCGTTATGCGCTGTTCGAACCTGAATGGACAAAAGCCTTAGAATGTCCCGTTTAAGATTCACTATATATGATGCATACGTGCCGCTTTTGACTCTGTTGATCGACCTGCTTTATGGCGTTGCTTACTAAAGAACGGGGTGCCAGAGAAATATACCGCCATCTTACGAGCACTTTACCTTCATACATGCGGCAGAGTGAGGGTCTATGGCAAGCTTTCCTCGCAATTCGCTGTCAATAGCGGTGTGCGACAGGGTTGCCCTATGTCCCCATTCCTCTTCAACTTCGCAATCGAAGACGTTCTGTCGAATGCCCTAGAAGGTTTCCAACATTTTGGCCTAGAGCTTCTACCGCGTGAACGCGCGACCGACTTAGATTATGCTGATGATATCGCCTTACTTGGTGACGATCCTCAGGGTATGCAACTCATTCTGGATCGTTTGGCGGTTGAAGCATCTAAGTATGGCATGAGCTTCGCCCCATCGAAGTGTAAAGTACTGCACCCGTGCTCACTCTCCAAGGTGCACAACTTGAACAGGTAGATAGTTTCGTCTACCTTGGGAGCTGTGTTTCCGCTGACGGCACTATCAACAGAGAAGTTTCGCTTCGTATCGCTAAAGCTCGATCAGCATTTGTCAATCTGAGGTACTTGTGGCGTCGTCGCGACATCTCAATCTCACTAAAGGGCCGAGTTTACAGCGCGTCAGTTCGCTCAGTATTGTTGTATGGGTGCGAGTCCTGGCCGATTCGCGTGGAAGACATGCGTCGTCTTTCTGCGTTCGATAACGGTTGTTTAAGGAGGATCGCTCGTGCTCGGTGGCAACATGGAGTTACCAGTAATGACGTTCGACGTCGCATCTTGGGGAATGCAAGTATTTCCTTCAACAAACTGGTTTTGTGGCGCCAGTTAAGATGGCTCGGTCATGTCCTACGCATGGCACCTGAGCGTCTACCGCGTCGCGCTCTATTCGCTCGTCAAGGACCTGGCTGGAAGCGACCGCGTGGTGGTCAGCCTTCCACTTGGCGGCAGCACATGAAATCGCTGACGTCGCGTCTAGCCGCTGTTGGACCCGTACGTCTTCCAGGATGGGGACCCAAAGATGAGGAGTGCCAATGGCTTAGGACTCTTGAAGACATGGCCCGCAACCGGAATCAGTGGGAGAATTGTGTACAGTGTTGCATTGATTCACATGTTTAATACTACCAACATTGAAAATGACAAAAAAAAGAGAAAAATCGGCGTGTGACAAACAAACTAAAGATGTCTTGTTCTGTATTTTTGTCAAAATATTCCATTTTCTTGCGGCATATTAGCTGAAGTGTGTTGCAGACCTTCAACTAGTATGCCACGTGATTATACCGCAATGACTCTCCTATCCACTGATTTCCATGGTTTTTATTGGCTCTATGTCTAGTTACTAGACCGCTGAGATTACATACATACATACATGCATGGCTAGGCAACGAAAACTGACATTCCAATTCAGCGTAAGGTTGCATCTTCAAAGCAAGCAATCTCCAAGGGGACACTTTGGTGCAGCCGGTTGGATTTAGGCACGCGCTGATTTACTACCGACCATAGTGGGGATTTTTTACCGTACAAAACGCGGACCGCTGATCGAATCACTGAACTCACGCAGTGGGAATTTAGCAAAGTAGGCAGAATAATAAGTACGGCTATTTCTTGGTTTTGCAAACGAATGTGTGATCTGATTCGTGAGCCGGTATGAAATGCTACGCAGTGAACCAAAAGAGATCTGGGGATGCTTACATTGTAACTTAACCTCAGTCAAACGGAAAAGTCAGGAAACAAAATCAGAGGGAAGTGAAGACTCGTCGGTTCGTCCACCAGTGTAAAGGCTGAATATCTGAGTCGAGCATGAACCAAAGTCGTGTGTGCAAATGACCAAAACATTCCGAGCGATATGGAGTTACTCATGAATTGTCAGTAGCATAAATTGTAATCCCGAATTTTGGGGCACAATCGCTTGTGCACGGGCGCTAAAGCTGTAACATCTGCACACATATCCTCAATGCGATAGTCAGTAACCCCAGAGATGCTCGCAGGTGAAATTCGGGATCCGATGCGCAGCCCATGTGGGTTTCTTTGCTTAACGAGCGGCTGCCGGATTCACGATCATGGCAACCCGAATCAGATCGTGTTTGTTAGTTACTGCCCCACAATGACAGAAAATATTGTGTTATGAACTACACTGACAGAATAGTGCACTCGCTGCCACTGACTGAGCTGCATGTGACCAAAATCATCAGCTGTCAAGGATCCGCAAGGAAGGAATGCCACTCACATCAATTTTTATCAGTGGTGAATTCTCAGCGGCATAAATTGGTGCGCTAGTTAGCACGAACCCTAGACCCTGTAGTAGAACGCGACGGCAATCAGAAACGAAGTCTCGGTGGAGACCAGCAGAATCGTTCATTGCCAGAGGCCTCACATTTTTATATAAAAATACCCTATTTCTTTTGCATTATTTCATTGAGAAATCTTTCATCTGGTTAGCCTAAGTTGTTGCGTTTTCCTTCCTTTTGTTTCACTGGCTCGTGGTTGCCTTAGCATCCGCTCTATCGATGAACTGCGTCTCGATGCCGCCTGTGTTCTATGGGTAATATCAGATTGTTCGTATTTCATCAAGTCATTGATACTCGGTTGGTACGCAGACGGTTCGTCGTTAATAGCGATATTGCATCGTCAATCCTTACCCATCGTTTAGCTGTTCAGTCTGTGCTCCCGGCTTTGCGATATACGGAACGTGCTATAGGCACGTTTGCCGCGCTGTAGTATTGGTTTTCTTTCATGTGATTGGTCACCGTCCAGTCGTGTGAGGTTTCCTCACTCGGGCGGATCCGCTGCGTTCCATGATCCGCCCATCAGGCTCGGCTGTTTGCTCAAACCTCATTACATCGTTTACCTTTTGTTTTGTTAGGACGGTGTTATTATAAGTTCCAAACTGTTTTCCGCTGCGTGTGAGATTCCTTCCTTGTGTCGTGGTAACAGGCATCCTTTCCGGTTGCTGCTGCTAATCATCGTTTGTGAAAACCGCCCGCTGCCTACTCTCTGGAGTTGTACTCGGTTCCGTCGATTAATGTAACCCCCTACCTAGACTTAGTACCTCCAGCTCCCAGAACCCAGTGTCTAATCACTACCACTCATAGAATCTACAGTATCTCGGAATCTGTAGTGATCAAGATAACCATGAAACTATTGCTACCTTCGGTGAAGGAAAAGGAACCCACGGGTGCTAAAATTACATTGCGTTTGCCAATTTGTGAGCGACTACCGGATCAGATACAAAGACACCGTCGATAAGATTTTGAATTCCACAGTGAAAGAACATCTGATGTCAACCAATCCCCGTCAAGTGGCAAAATACTCACGTAAACCGCCGGCGTTTTAAACTTTATTACGTTACCCGAATTCTCCGTTCTTGTGATTCGCCGAGGCCGTGACGATAAGTCAGCTAAGACCTGCCCTACTGTGCAAAAACAAATGATTGTTAACCTTAGGTTATCATGGTCCTAGGGCCATCGCCGAAGATGTCATCTCCACATGTGATTGGTCTGGCAACGCCATCTGAACGCTAGATAAATTATTCTTTGTTATTGTATTTGGGATTTGAGACAATACGAAATGAGTGCATCTATCAGTTACTAGATTCTCAGCATGCTAGTCAAACCGTTTCGTTTGTGAGTGCCAGACGTGACTTCGGTGCAGAAATTGTATCAAATCCTCTTTCCGGGCACGGAATCGGAGACCCTTTAAGACGTGGTCGTCTTGGATTCGTGTTCTGGAACTCTACGAATACCACCGGATGACTTATGGTGAGTAAAAACTCCTGGTTTTATTTTCAATGTGCAACCATAAGAAGTGTTCGATGTGGTAGTTAAGTTGCCAGGTGGTTTGACACGAATAAGGGGCAACGGGAAGATATAGGATCACAAGCCCCGAAGCACTAGACAGACAAGTCTCTGAGAAAGATTTGTTTACACAAGCGCTCACACAACAAGACCGATGCAAAATGCTGTTCGATGGGACAACTGAAGATCAAGCGCAAACCTTAAGGGGATCGCTCGGTAACACACAGCTGATTTTGAGATAAGGTGTATGAACGTCTACAGCACATTCAAAGATACGCCTATGATCACGGTCACTAGAATGCGAGGTTGCATCATACTCGCCAGAAGGTCCAACTTTAGGCGAGCAATCGCAAACCGGTAAGATCTTCCTACATTTGTGCTTTGTACCAATCAAGCTGGGTTCGTAGCCAGTAAATCGTTAGTTGCCATGACTGGGTTAGAAAAGTAGAGCACCGTCGGTCGCTCGTCCATCGTCACCATAGAGAACAGTAGGAGTTGGGTTCACTTTATGTTTAACTGCGGACCCATGTGATATGGACGTACACGAGGTGGCACAGTAGTTCATGGATGGACACAAGCTGTCACGTCTTTCGTGTTAAGAGAGGTGCTGTATAAGGCGTACTGACGAAAATCTGCAAGAACTAAGCTACTTTTAGCATAGAATTCAATGGGTTGAGCAAACTGCAAATAGGTGAAGAGCCAGCCAATTGGCAGCAAAAGAGTACTGCGTGTCTGGGTGATTTGGGACCGATAAAAAGATTGAGCTGAACGAACACATTCGTCTATGAGTAGAAATCGTTCGTAACTATGTGTTATCACGATATAGAAACTGCAAGTACAGAACCTTCATACCGTCTCGGTTTTCACGTTCATCATGCCTAGGTTATGAACAGCTTCCTGTCAAGGACAAGCGCGAGATATGCCGAAAGAGAAAAGCACGCTGGCTTACACTGAATATTCATCTTTATATGGTATCTGTGCTTAACTCGTGATGAGCAAGAGGTTCCTTACCCGCTTAAAATTCTGCATGTTCGTGGTGTTCACTGGAGAGCCATAAAACAAAAGTTTGTCGATGCGAGTCACATCAGTGCCTTGTTGATTGTCAGCGATGAAGATCTGGAGGAAAAAGGGGACGGGGCACAGTGAATAAAATACGGTGACCTCGTTTCCGGAACCGCATCAACCAGCAACAACCGTATCATAAGACTGATGTCGTATGATGTTGCTATACATTTTAGCGCGGTTTTGCTCGAAATGATCGCTCTCACAGTGAGCTCCCGATGACTTTGGCGCAAAGCGCATTGATAGAAGTTGTATTGAAATTAAACCATATTTATGGCTAAACCCAAGAACAATTGCTTCCGGAACAGCATGATCAATGATAACAAAAGAATGTCTTAAAGCCTATTTAGCGAATCCACGGGTAGGTGCCGGCGTCGCGTGATGTACTGGAATATTCTGGAAACAAACTAAATGTTCCCTTAAAAGATATCGGTTCGTTCCTCGTAGAAAAATAGGCTTTTCAAAAATAGTTAGTTCCTTGAAATAGCTAACAGGGACCAGATAAAATGTGGCAACTACTGATAGAAGGGGACCTTAGAATGTCTAAGGTAACTTAGTGATTGCAGCCAAGAGAAAACCCAGGTGGAACAAAATACTAACCGATTATACTTACGTGCGAAACGTGACTCATTTAAACTTGGAAAATGAAACTATATCGGTTAATATTCTCCAAAAGCAGTTACCGAGAATGGAGCAACACTGTGTCTATGAGGAATGGAAGGAGTACGTGTTTCCCAAGCGACGGTGGTTGACTTTTAGATGGACACGGTAGATCGCATTGAAAAATTCGATCTCGAGAACTAAGCCAAAGTGTAACCAGAGTGAGTAAGCGGAAACGCATCCGAGCAGAGCACAGGGATACTGGATGTCTTGTTTGACGCACCCAATATAGATGCTTGAGGAGTAAGTAGACACCAGCGTTCTGTTCCATTGTTTTCGCCGGTGTATAAAAGTCTAGCAGTGTTGACGTAAAACGCGAAGCGTATTATAAGGGCAGAGGCAAACGACATGTCGCATTACATAGACACAGTCATCAATAACTAAAGCAGGTGAGTGGATGAATGTCGCTAAGTACCCTGATTTCCCTTTGCCCAACACGAAAAGGTTAGCGGGGCTAACGAACATGCAGCAAATAACGTTCTGATCATTGCATAGTTTAAGGAACGAAAAAGATCGCTTTGCACCAAGGAGATGAGGAGTAGAATGTGAGTAAGGAACTTAGAATTTTTGGTATGCCTTTGCAGGGAGACTGGCTAGTCACCGCAATAGGAAAAGCAGTTGAATGCAATTTGGTCACAAACTGAGTTTTTTGAGATTAAACGTCTAGTGAGCGCATTTCACGAAACATATCGGCCAAAATAAAACGTGAAGTAAGGCTACCCTGATAGCTGCTACAGCCTCTGACGGACTGTGCAGATAAGCATTGTTCTGAATGAATTTGAGGGACACAACGTACTGTGAGCGTAGTCACTTTTTGGAATTTCACGTAGTTCAAAGGGGTGATGGCCCCATCCTCTAAATCCTTCGTTTCCAATCTATGTGGGAAGATGGAACAAAGAAGGATTACAATATGCGTTGCCACAATAGAACGCTAACCAAAAGAGCACATAGTTATCAAGAGGCTGTCAAAGCTGCGTGATGCCCGGCTGCAGCTGCACTTGTGCTCACCGAGGCAGAGAAAAGTATGGCATTAACACATGTTCAATGGTGAGCTCCGTTTCACTACGTACGGATTTAAGCAAAACATATGGCACCGGGTGATGGCATTCACTGCCAGTACTTTCATACACTTTACCATTACGTGTCATAAACAATGATGTGCGACAAGACTTGCCCGTACACAATCGCCACGTCAGTGAAATGAAAACCGTGTTCGACTAAATTCATTCCCTATAACAAGTGTGTGAACTTTAAACTTAAACTACTTCAACAGTTTTTGAGGCATGGTCAGATATTTGCATTTTGTCCGGTGCAAAACTCAGGAACGGTGTATTATTGCTTCATTTTTCCAGTACTGTGTTAGTGCTGTTGGAGAGACCGGACCCCTCACCCAAAAAAATCTTTGCGGAAAATGATGGAGATCAAATCTTATTCTGCACACTAGCATACTCATGACTGCGCAGCTGGGACGATGCCTATTATTGTTCTATCCCACAGAACCTTGATAGTGACTTTTATATGCCCCAGTTTGCAACCGCCTCACTCCTGTATCTGTCCTGCACCCACATATCATGGTGGTATATGATAACTGGACTGATGTGGCATTTGCAGATACCTGGTGGTGGACATTCTTGCCTTCCGCATTGGCTCGCTGGTCATACTCGGGCTAGTGATCTTCGGTTTGTCCAGAGACAATACACATACTATCATATATCCGGTAATGTGTCTGTTTGCGATGTCCATCTGATGTGTAGCGGTAAGAATAGTAAAGGTTATCATCCTTTCAGGTCGAAGGCGCGTCTACAACGCCTGTTGCTAAAAATCCAAATGGAGAGAATAACGCACAATTCCAACCGGTAGAATGTGTTCTTTGTGGTCCACGAGTCACATCAATATGCCTAATAATAGCATAATACTGGTCTTAGTTGTGCATGTAAAGTGGCGGATGCGGACAAGCGATAATTCTTTTATGCATGATCTATGGTCTGATTTACGAAATGCCCCGCCGAGTAATAGGTACCTCCATAGTGATATGCGTTAATAGGTTGTAGACATGCTATTCAACAAGGTCACCGGCGGCGCCCTTCCAATGATACCACTAGACGTCAGTCACAGGTTCAGGAAAGTGACATGTTGAGATGAACTGGGGAAAACAATGTACCACGAAAAGCAGTGAAAATACGGATAAAAGAACAAGTAGTTATCGTGCAAAAAATTTTACAATGCACGCAACTACTTCAATAAAAATAAACCACCTTTTCCCCACATCCAGGTTGATTTTGAAATGCGTTGGTTGAGAAGATTCGCCGCAGCTAGACTAAGGCAGGCAGCCACCACACAACGAGGAAAGCGCTAGACGGTCATTTCGTCCTACTGCCGAATCCTGCTGGATTCAAACCCATGATCTTACACCTGCAAGCCAGCGACGTACGCCACTGAGCTATGGGTGATGGCAGCGAACCGCCATAACTGATCTCTAACTTCGATACAGCGCGGCTCATTGTCCACCGTCATGCATGTTATGCACGTGCAAAGGATAGGGCTGGCCCCCAAAACTACGACTTTGCAAACCGGAGCCAACTGAGGTGACTAAAGCGATTACTGATAAGTGATGAGTAGCAAGGGACTTATTGGGTTTTTGCGTAGGTTCGTCACAGCTAGACTCAGGTAGACAGCCACCACACATCCAGGAAAGCGCTAGACGGGCGTTTCGTGGAGGATGAGCCGCACTATATCGCAACTCGATATCAGTCATGGCGGTCCGTCACCGTCACCCATGGCTCAGTGGTATATGTCGCTGCTTGCAAAAGTAATGTCATGAGATAGAATCCTGCAGGAAGCGGCGGTGTGTGCTACTGATGAGTCACAATAGGACGAAATGAACGTATAGTGTTTTCCTGGATGTCTGGTAGCTGTCTGGCTGTAGCTAGCTGCGACGAATCTTCCCAAGAAAGTTTGAACGTACTTTCCTGATTCAAGAACTAAAATAAATATTGAAAACAATAAGAACTGTTCTGGGTAATGGCAAGATGAAATTGCGGAATAAACAGCAGCCCTGATGAGAGCGAAATAGCTTCGTCGGAAAGCCCCTGAGTCAATGCCGTGCATCGGATAACGCTCGGAGCATTGCTGCAAACGGAGCCGGAAGCCATGGGCGTCGACACTATCGTTAGCTAAAGTGACGAAACGGCGAAAAAAATCAAGAGATTAGTAAATGAGACTAGCTCTAATAGGTCGTGCGCAGATACGATCATGGTAGCAGATGATAGTGCGTGGTAACGCGGTGCTAATCACATCATACCACGTACAGCCATGGAACTATGACGATAATTGACCAAAGTGGACATGGAACGTCCACGAAGGGAAGATCGTGGTAACTTAATCCTTGTGACCGTTATTTAGTGAAGAATGTGGATGGGTTAAGCGTTTCACTACCCAAACTGACAACCTAGAAAATAGCGCTAAGGGTGAGAAAGGCAAGGAGCGACAATGAAACTTACGTGAATTCTTGCACAGCATCGGCGGTCTCGCAAGCGCTAAAATCAGGGGTAGAAGTCTGATTGAGGAACAGTCTGACTGTTTTCGGGCCGGAATCTAAAACAAACGGTGGAGACCGGTAGGCAAAGGCGATTCGGTAGCATGGGTTGATGTCAAATGGCTGAGTGCAATTTCCATTTACTGGGGGTCTTCATAGGGGCTTTCCAATCAGATGGCCTATCGCGTATCCGGAAAAGCACGAGACGGCCATTAAGTCCTGCTGGGACTCATCAGTAGTACGCACTTCTCGGTTCCACCAAGAACCGAACCCATGACTAATTGACCTCGGCGGATACTGCCAGCGGTGATGGCTACATATCGTCATGGCTCACAAGCCAACTGCGATACAGCACAACCAATCCTCCAATGCCAGGATGCGTGGGAAGTAGCCAAGTGGCCCAACAAGAGCTAACACAAAGACTTGACAGCGATCGTAAGCCGGTCAATAATGAACAGAGGCTCATTTTACACTGTACATAAACTTGAATCACTATTTTACCGCAGTGCACGTTGTGCTTGGTTCTTGCTAGAAATTTGCCTGTTTACTGGCTCCCAGCTGATTGCGCGTTGTTGACAATTCCCCAACCCCATCTGGCCTTTGCGAATGTGATTAGCTTGCACCGGCAGTGCTGAGTGGCTTTCCATATACCGGTTCCGTTTGTCCAGGTCGACCTGATGTCATCACACCATGCCCCGTCAACCCAAAATCAGTGTCGCGTGCGGGCCACTCGCTTGACTCTGATTCCTCACAATTCGACCCAATTCCTCACTGTTCACCTGGTCTGCGCAAGCGTGACGCGGCACGGTGCTGGTTAGCTTTCCAGTCCACTGGCCGCGCATCGGTTTCGCTCGCGTACCCGATCAGACTTCATCAATGGAGGGTTTCTGATTTAGCAGCTACGATAAAGAATACACAATAAATGATATCAAAAATCCTCTAGTCACAAGTAACTATTAGGTTGATAATAAAGTTATGGCGGTTTGATGCTTAAAATTTAAATGCACAAATCTAGGCTCAGTTGTAACGTCTTTATTTGAAAACAATTCATTTGGATTGACAAACGTTTGCCAACGGGAATCGAGTTTATTTAATTCGGATGAAGAAAACCCCGAGTTCCTGTGGCGATAAATCGTCGAATACGGTTTCAGCATATCCATGTATTTTAAAAGTTTTCTCTCGGAGGAAATTATCCAGGCGCTTGAAAAGTGGCAGTCGGTAGGTGAGAAGTCAGGGGGAGTATGGTGAGTTACGCAAAGTCTCGTAACCCAGATCATGCAGCTTCCGCAGGGTTGTGTGTGCGACGTGCGGATGAGCGCTGTCAAGAAGGAGAATGGGCACCTTGCTCTTGAACAGTACTGGATAATGGTGCCGGCGTTTTCAGTGCATTTGGACAATCTGTTGACAGTACTCCTTCGCTGTAATGTTTCCGCTTGTATTGAGTAAGCTGTGATGGATCAGACCTGCCGCAAAATACCAAATACTCACCAGCATCATTTTGAGTGCAATTTCAAAGTTGTGAAGAGTCGCGTAGCTTGAGAGGTTTGTCGCCCATTGTCGTAAAGGATCCACTTTTCATCGAAGTCACAATCCAGCCGAGAAGTGGGTCATTTTTATTGTTCAGAAGGACAGACGACACCACAAAAAAGAACGACTTCTCTAAATTTCACTCAGTTTGTGCTGCACTCAATTATCAAGGTTTTCCGGCAATCTGATCTCCCGTAAATGTTTTATAACTGTCACTTGCGATACTGCTAAGTCAGCAGCAAGATCTCGAGTAGTTTTGCACGGAGCTGCTTTAACTAAGACTTTTAATTCATCGTTGTTTCCTTCCGCTGCCCGTCCACAATGCTCTTCATCTTCAAGCCTCTCGTAACCTTACCAAAATTTCTAAAACTATTATTGTGCGCAACGGTTATTAGTTGTTCTAGCGTCAAATGCACTGTTGATGTTATGGGTTGTTTCCGTTGCATTTAGTCCAAGTTTAAATGGGTTCAAGAATACTGTGCGAATTTGTCTTCTGTCCACATTGCAATAAATGTCCTGTAAAGATGTAAAAACGTGTGTCTGAGCTAAAATATCCCTATTGCTAGATAGACCTTATAATAGGCCTCAAAATGATATGAAAGTTCAAAGCAGCTTAATAAAAATTATCAAAAAAATAGCTGTTGTAAAAAATAACAAAAAACCGCAATAACTGTTACCAACCTAATCCCTCGATTTGTTTGAGCTACACTGTGTAGTCTCGGTTGAATAATGTCATAAAGCGATTAGAGGAAATTCATACGGGTAAGCGTGAAGAATACGGAGAAAAACAACAACTGTGACAGAGGAAATGAAAGGCCGCAGTCAAAAGGAGCTGTTTAAAGTTAAAGTTAGCATCGTGGATAGCATGGATCATTCACAGTAACTCGCAAGTGGCACCATATCAATAAGTGTTCCTGTTGATCAATGCAACGTA